CTGAGGGGAGCTCGTGACGTGCGCGCGGGCTTTTTCTGTCCTCTGAGCTCGCCTCGAGGGTGGCTGGGCAGGTGCAGGAGGGTGGCTGTGCTGTGCTGCGGGGGGACCCGCGGGCCGTGCTCCTGACTCGTGGGGAGCCCGCGCTGTGTTGAGCCCATGCCCGTGCCCGTGAGGGGTGAGCAGTCACCCTCACAAAAGTGCTATATATACACGTGTGTGTGTATACACACACACACACGGGTTCACAGGAGGTATGTGTGTGCCTGTGTGTGTACACACACACACACATATATATTTATATACTAAGCAGGGGTAGAGACACTGGTGGATTAAGATTTATTGGGGCCCTGGGCAAAAAGAAAATTGGAGGGCCACCCCACTGCCCATGATTCAACTGTCATCAGAGGCAACCTGCAGTGGCTGTTGCCCCCATGGGCCCATGCATTAATCCACCTCTGGTAAAGATGCACCTTTATTGGTTAACTACATTATTTATATACAAATATCATCACCAGTCTCAGGGTTGAGGATGATCACTGCCATGGGTCAAGTTGTAAATGAGGCCACTAGTGTGGGAGTGAAACACTGGAACAGGCTACCCGGAGAAGTTGTGGACTCTCCATCCTTGGAGGTTTTTAAAACCAGAGTAGATAAAGCTTTGGCTGGGATGATCTAGTTGGGGATGGCTGTGTTTTGAGCAGATTTGGACTAAATGTGACATGAGGTCTCTTCCAACCCTACTTTTCTATGAGTCTATACATACAGACTAGACAAGGCGGAATATACCCCTTTATATAATAATATAGAGAGAGAAGGGCAAAGAGAAACACTAGATGGTAGAGATGGACTAACCAGAGGAGAGGTGCATTTTTATAGATTAACTAAATAATATATATTTATTAACTGTTATTTAGTAAGACTGACTTCAGACTAAGTTGGCTAACTACTTCTCTCTGCTCATGGGTTAGACTAGGGGGCAGGCCTCTATTTAAGCATACCAGAAAGGAACCTGGAAACATTAGGAACAAGAGAATGCAGCAACCCACTTTGAAAAAAAAATGGTGTAAAAAAAACCCCTGAGCCTTGAAGCAGGGTGTTATGTCAAGAGTCTGCCTGATGCTCAGCATATCTTGCTGCAGAGGCTTTATAAATCTTAGCACCATGGCTCTGTATTTCCCACAATTCCATTTGGCTGAGAGAAAAAGTCTTTTCTCCCTCCCCACCTCAACTTAAGACATTGGTCCATTTTTCTTGACAGACTTATCATCCTGGTTTTTCTCAAATACATTTAATCTCCAAAACCTTTTCTTTATTTTGGTGTTTGTGAGCATTGAGCCATGAGTTTCTCCTTAAGACACAACCCTGGAAATAGGGTAATATAACCCTGCAGATGTTCCTCCCTGCACTTACAAAACCAGTGCATCTCTTTACCAGCTTGTAGCTTCATCTTCCCCTTTCCACTTGCAAGGACTCTCCCTTGTACCCAAGAAATGAGAGAAGCTGCCACATTCCAGATGAAAAAAAAGAATTGCTCTTGCATCAACTGTTATTCTCCTTCCACTTCACAAGATCCCAGTGTGTGTTTTTATACCCTCCATTGCTCTCCTAATGGGAGCAGTAGATACCCACTGCCATCTGAAGAGGAATAAAGAGAATGGCAGCAGCTGTACATTCATACACTGAAGGAAAAAGACTGGCAAAGGAGAGATTGAACAGGGAGAGGTGAACTCTATACTTTGTTATATTGATGTTTAAAAATATTCTTGTTCTTGGGTTTAGGATTGTTGAGATCTGGTTGTTTTTCCTGGTACGTCTTTTGATGTCAGTATGTTGTTGTTTTTTTCATCTTTGACACACTCCGCCCTTAATGGGCAGGAAATTGTGGTCCAGTGAACAGGGCACATGACTGGGAGTTTGGAGTTCTATTTTCAGCACTGTTGCTGGTTCACTGTGACCTTGAGCAAGAATATTCAAATCTCTGGTTTCAGGAAATCAAGGCTTACCAAACCTGATGTTACCCAGCTGAGCCATTCTCTCCAGCTCTGCCTGGGATATGTCACATCTGCTTATGTGTATTTCTGGGTATATGGCATATTTCTTTACAGCTTGCCATGTGATGGAACTCTATGTCACACAGGCTCTTCCATGAAAAAATGTAACCTGAAATTACATGAATGAGAAAACATGTGTGGTTATACAAAGCTGTGCCTATGATAGCCACTTTAGAATAACAGATAGCCTGTACTGCCTTCCAGTAGGTAGAAGTTATCCCCTGCAGTCTCTTTGGAACGCTGTGTGCGCACCCTCAGTGGATGACAATGCTATCTACATTTCTGCAGCCACAGATTGTTACAAATTGCTCCCACGAGGTTGCCTGAGCTTATGAATGTTCACCCCAGATGGAGTCTGGTGAGGCAGAGAGAGACCATCTGCATATGCCTACTGTTACTCTCATTCAATATTAGGATAACCCTGAACAAATTCTGTTTCGTTCCGATTTTGTTGGAACTGCAGGATGAGATCTGAAAGACAATGTGAAGTTGTGATAGATGTTTGGGCTCAATGTAACTGTTTCACTTACGGTAAAAGGCTGAAGCCTCATTACCAGATTTATATATGCAGAAAACTGCAGGATTTCAGTGGGGCAGATATGACTTGGAACAACTGAACAATGCAGACTGGCTCAGTGCCCTCTGCCATCAAAGAGTTAGTTAATTTTAACTTTATCACAAACCCAGTTGTCACATCAGCCTGCCATAAGTAAACACAAATGCATTTTTTCATTACCATTGGTTCTAGTCCTCCCCTTTGTGATTAGCTGTTTCTAAGTCTGTCTTGAATCAGATTGTAATAAACAGGGATTTCCTAAGGCCTCATTCATGAATTATATACCCTAAAGACTAGTAAAGTGTTAAAATGTGATAAATGATTTAAATCCTATTCTCTTAATTCCAGGAGCTGAGGTTGTGCCTGTTGACTGTAGCAACTGGACATGTATATGACTTTAATCCCAATATGTTTTACAGACTTACATTACATAGCAAGGATCACTCAATTCAGTTCAGACACCTCAGGGTAGGAATGTGGCAGCTTGTTAAAAACACACCACGCTACATAAGAGTTCAGGCTAGGTTCTTTGTTTGAAACTGCAAGCACCAGTTAAGTAAATAGTTTGGCTCAGAAACCAAACTCATTTTACTATTGCTTAACCTTAGAGAGTACCATGAGATACATAACAACAATATATGAACAAGTCTGTAGTTTCACATTTTATTCAGAAAACAGCACTTCAACACCATGCCGGTGCACATTTTTGTTTAACAGAGACTGAGAAAGCAG